CATCGTACTGGCAACATAAGACTCCAACTCCCACTGCAACACTAAAGAAACTGATTCATAAATACATGATCAAAAATAGGTTTGTGACCCAGTCAGATTGTCATAATGTTTGAAATGAATTCAACTGAGCGCTCAACCGAACCAGAGCAGAGGTGGTGATTGTCCAGCCCTTTCCCTTAATGAAACAGGGCCCCCTTATGGCTGCTGTTGGATCTGCACTGGTATTATTGCAGGTCACACAGAATAGGTACACAGCAGAACAGGACAATACAGTTTCCGGTCAGCCCTTCTTTTCTTACATTGCCTTTGAGTGGCCTGGACTCCCAGAATACATTGATTTGGATATTTGCAGGTCCAAAGACGCTTGGGTTGAAAGATTTTTAGACATCGAGATTGCATATAAACACTTTCTCCATGTAATTTTCAGTGTTACACCTAAATACAGTCAGTAAATTGCTATTGACATTGTGATAATATGTAGACAAAATAACTATAAGGTCAATTGAAGGCTGTTCTGGGCATTTTGTTCATAGCTGTAACTGATAATTATTTTCATCATTGATTCAGCTGTGGGCTGCAAGGTGGCACGGTGGGTAGTAACATTGCCTCGCAGCTAGAAGATCCCTGGTTAAGACACCTGGGATCTTTCTGCATGGAGTTTGCATGTTCTCTCGGTGTAGCATGGGTTCTCTCTGGGTTGTCCAGCTTCCTCCCACAATCCAAAAACATGCTGAGGTTAATTGGTGATTCTAAATTGTCTGTAGGTGTGAATGTGAGTGTGCTTGGTTGTCTGTCTCTAAGTGTAGCCCTGTGATAGACTGGTGACCTGTCCAGGGGAACCCCCCCCCACACCCGCGACCCTAGTGAGGATTAAGCGGTGTATAGATAATGGATGGATGATTCAGCTGTCAAATGGTCTCTCAATTCATCCCTTGGGCTTTTCTAAAATTATTTATTTGAAGACCAACATCCATTAGAAGTTGTTAAAGTGCATAGGGCATTTTAGAATCAGTGAAAATCTTTAGATTTGCTGGAAGAGAACAACTTGAAATAAAAACAGAGCTTGTCGTCAGGTAATTAAAAATAATTGTCAAGGTCAAAGTTAACTTTCAGCCCCAGGAGTTATATGTAATCTGGATGTCTAAAAATTTCTAGTATTCAGATGATTTCGTTTACTATTAACCTAAACACATGGCTGCTGTTTAGGGTGCTGAGGTCATGTCCATTATATTATTTTATTTTTTTAAAACAGGCAAAAATTAAGATCTAACTACATTTTAATGCACTACAAAGACTTTGTATTTGCTGTAAAATGTAAATGAAATCAAATTAAAATATCTTTTGGTGAAACAAATTTGAGGTGAGTTTCTCGGGGTTAACTTGGACTTATTACTTTGAATTGAATTTCCCTTCTGGGATAAATAAAGTATTTTTCATTTCATTTCATTTCATGACCTCAGTTTTTCTAAATCTAGAGCTAGACTATGGAGTCCTGAAACTGACAAAACTGTCATTAAATTGATAAAATATATCTGAACACATGGATAAATAATTAAAATCATCTGTGAAATCCTTTAGTCAATTGACTGAATGATCACAAACATCAATTCTATCCATCTGAACAGAAAAATGACTATTATTTCAAGATATTCTGTCACTTTAGAGACTCCATACAAGACGTCTTTTTAGCTGTAAATCACAGAAACAAGGTTCAATGTGTGACTTCAAAGAGCAGATGAGGAGAAAAACTCAACTACAGTAAAAATACTGAACTGAGAATATGTGCTTTTCAATGAGTGCCATAAATATTATGTATTTGACAAACCTCTATTGTGTTAATAAAAAAAAATCAATAATTTGTTTTTGCTTTGGAGTTTCACAGCTCCAACATTTCAGTTCAGACATTTGCAATTAAACCAAACTATCTGTCCTTGTAGAAATGAGAAATTCAGTCAAATTATTTGGTGTTTTGAATACAGTTTCTATAAAGTAGAAAACTAACTGTCATCAAACAAATTGTCTTGTGGCTCATGAGATCTTTTATAATCCAGTAATTTCCCATTTTTCATCTGTGGAGAAAACAAATGTGCCTGGAAAACAAGAGAAGTAAAGCACATTTGTTTTTGTGTACATGTAATGTCGTGTATTGTACATTGACTCCTACATTAAGTCAGTGGTTCTCAAACTGAGGGGTGTGGATGACCAATGGAGGAATATGAAATGGAACTAAGCTGAATAAACATGATCTATGTAGGGAAAAAAACAAACGAGAGTGTGCTGATGTTATTGTGCTGAGCTTTGTTTTGCTAAAATTCTAATTGGATATTTGTTTTACTATTTGCTTCCCTTATCATTGTTAATAACTGATGAACATTGTGGGGTTGGGAGGTCTGAGAACCACCAAGTCAATATAGTTTACTGACAACACTAATCGGTTGTTTTTGCTCATCCTTAAACATGAGTTAAAGTGCTTTGAAGGCCTCCAGGTTTAAAACACTGATTTAGTCCTAAGCATCATAAAAGCACTTTGTTAAACCCTTTTCTTTACTTTGCAGTTTCGTTTTGAAATTAAAAGAGAACTCTTTCCTTTTATATCATCAACAGAAGTAAAAATACTTGTTTTGTGCTTAAAGGCACTTTTGCAGACACAAAGCAGAGTTGAACGTTAGGATTCATACTTGTGTCAAACCAAAGGAAAAATCTGCAGTGACATCAGTTGCAAAGCTGACTCAGCCTTCACAAACAGGTATGGCCGTGCAAATACTCAGTAAGGAGTCCTTTAATTCTAGTCTTTGGAATGAGAGAATGACCCCCCCGAGTTAAAAATCCCTCTCTGAAAGAAACATCCATCTCAGTGTGCTTGTTTTCAAGCATAAAGCGAGAAAACAGCACCACAGACACTAATGGCAGAGAGACAGAAAGAGATGCTGCAATGTGTCACGAGAGATTTGACTGAAAAGAAACCCTCGTCAATGAAAATGATTCAACCTGATTTTTTTAAACAGGTATTTTCCATCAAAAGGTTTTATCCTGAAAAAAGGTAAAAATGTTGTGATGTTTCTGATGGTCTGCACCTTCACTTAGACCAGTACAATGTTAAAACTTCATGCAGGAGGCTGCTGAAGAGGTTCTGCTTTTAGAAGGTGACAGGGAAATAAGTATGTAATAGCACACTGTCCCCACAGCAACCTGCTAACACTAGTGAAGAAATAAATCCAATTAAAACACTGAATTCTCACCAAAAAAAAAGTCAAATGAAACAAAACCACATGGACAATAAATGCAATTTCATGCAAGCAGTAGAACCCATGATGCTTTAGTCATGAGCTAAATTTCATTGACATTTTGTGTACTAACGGCTGTTAAAACTACAGACACACTGATCTCCAAAGTAGCTCTTCTCAGATGTCTGCTCTCCAGTGCTGAGATTAAAAAGAGGTTTTTGTTTGTGGTCGTATTCGGCAAACCTCAGCACTGCACACACATCTGAAGAAGAGTCAAGCATTTACCCTGATGGGGTTTTTTTAAGCTTTTTTTTTTTTTTGGCATTTCACACAACTGTAGAAAATATGTCCTTCTAATAAATACTGCTTTTCCAAGTTTAATCTGTTCGTGAAATTCCTCTTTCACTTCCTCAGTCTGGTTGTCTGCAACACCCATTATATTGTTTTAAATCAGTCACAGTTTGCACAGTTAACAAATGCTTAGGCGCTATAGTGGGTAGTAATACGAAGCTTTCATATACAGTTTATACACAAGAGTGCTGCAGTAGTTGAGAAATAATAAGGATGGCTGTTGTTTTTTTTTAGCACTGAAACTGAGGAGGGGGCAGTTGAATAAGTCCAGATATTGTGCTACTGAAATGAATCCATATCCACTTTGCGGTTCCTACTTCAGTCAATAACACTAAAAAGAAGTTCCTTTTTTTTTTTAAAACACTGATGTGACAATGAACTTTCATTCCTTAAGCTGTAGTCACTATAACTGCTAATCGAAGGTATTTCCTGGAAAGGTTCTCTTAAAGGGTCACTCCAGATATTTAGTGCTACAGCTTCATTGTGTTTGGGAGGACCCACAAGACACAGTTAAAAAAAAAAAAAAAAACAAGGTTAAAATCGAAGCAGCAGAGGCAGATATTTCCTGAATGTTAGTGTTGAGTTTGGGGCAAGCTCTGAAAAATGCTGGATACTATGTTTCCCACAATTCAACATACATGTACTTTGAGGTGACCTTTTTCAATACATGTCATGCCTGCAGTTTGTACCCAGGCTTTATGTTACAAATATATCATCTTTAAGTCGAAGTTACTATATCAGTTTCTCCAAAGCCACAGAGGCAATTATACAACTGTTTTTTACAAGGTAAAGAGAATTCAGCATCAAGAAAACCAGTCCTTATGGTCACTATAGCAGGGTGTTCCCTAAGTATTTACACCAGGGTGACCAGTGGTGTCCTTTTTTTTTCAATTAAACCACTTCACAGCAGCTAAGAAATCTGCATTTAAAGAGGAATAAAGATGAATATAGTTACAGTCTAAAATACATCTTGAAGAAAGTGTGAAACTTGAGGACAAAAACGTCTTCAGATAGACTGGAATGATCACTGTGAGAGAACGCACTCTGGAGCTCTCTGGCTGCAGTAATGAACTGGTCCCGCAAATTCTGTAGCACCAGACAGCTTTGAACACTAATACAATATATACAGAGAGACAGCAACACTTCTCTTGCAGGTTTCAGCCAGGATACACACTAGATTCCTTAACCATGCCTTTTGGAGATGTCAGGAAACAGGTTGGTGAAGTTTTCGATGGCACTTGAACCAGTGAATTTATTTTTTGGCACCTGACATTCAGGTTTGGTCATGTTTCAGGTGCCACAGGTTCAGACTAAAGACTGTTCTGGGTTGCTGGAGTTGAGTTGGGTTTCCATCATGGTGTCATCAGGGTATGGGTTGGGGTAAGGGTTGAGGAATGGGTTGGTGAGGTTAGTCATCGGGACGAGGGTGGGAGTTGTGGGTTTGGTGGCACCAGGTCCAGAAGCGTTATCGATGCCGGATGTGACATCCCCAGCAGTGGTGCTCAGGTGGCCGGAGTCTCGGCCTGAAGGCTGGACATGCGGATCTGGGAGCTGCTCTTGCTGAGGATGGACAGCTGCGTGCCCCCGTTCACCCCACTGCTCGCCAGCGAAGGATGACGGTGCTTCAGGTCCACAGCAAAGTACCTGTTCACCGTCCAGCTGCGCCATTTCCTCTTGATCTCCGATTGCACCTTGAGGGATATACTTCACAAGGTCATTATTAATGGACCTCGCTGGAAAGAGACAAGCTCACTGTCCCTCAGTCTCTACACCTCTGACTGCACTCTAGATGAGGCTCATTGTTTTTGTTTTTTTACTGCCTTTGACTGAATCTTATCAAACAGAAAAGGAGGCTCACGTCATCAGCTAAAATTTGGTATGTCCCCTGTTGTAAAAAAAATGCTGAGTTTCAAAAATGTTTGTCCTGTTAGAAAATGCAAATGAGCTGCCTCTAATGTACCAGACTCCCTTTACCCTGTTCTTCAGCAGCTAACTAGACTGATTTCTATAGTTGTGTACCATTGAAAGCACAAATTACTTAATTGAAATGATTACTCATATATTTATCTGTGAGAAAATGTAGAACATTAACTATTCAATAAAAATATTTGAATGCTTAATAAAGCATTTTATTGTCTTCATGTGCTCAGGGTGTAAACTAGGGCAGAACAAATCTTCAAGACAACATCAAAGAGGAAGTGTAGTATCAAAAGGACAGGAGCTGCAACTTTTTTTCATTAGAATAATGTGTCACAACAAACCATTATAAATAATGATCGAGGTGCTACAGAGATCTTTGGCCTATAAATCATATTCATAAAAATGACATAATTAATTAATTAATATTTTGATAGAAAGGAAATGCAAAAAACATTCCAGCTAAAATCTCGACACCTTTCACAATATCTGTCAAAATAATTGCTGCATGATATTTTTTTGTATATTATTCAGCCCTCGTGTAAACTGTTATTTGTGTTGCTGTGACAGTTATCTATGAGTTTTTAAGAGCTTTTCAGTGACCTATAATGGACACACACTGGACATAAATGGTCCAGCGTGCCAACTAATGGAGTTTGGAAGATATTTTTCTTAATTACAAAACAATAGTAATTTTCCAATAAGTTGGAATTTCATGTGTTTGTAGCTTTCAAGCTATAAATAGTTCTAAGACCAGACCATACTGATAATAGAGTTCTTAGCTGTGGTCAATGAACAACTTGTTTCACATGTAAATAGGTTGAGATGCCAGCATCCACACACCACAGAGAACAGAGAATCAACTTCAAAGTTAACCTAAAACTCTACTGTAAATAGGTAATGTATACATATACATTTATATTTTCAAGAAATGTTTTTTTGTTTAAATAGACATTTCCTGTAAATAATCACAACAAATAAATTCCCAGTACACTTTTAACCAAAAAAGTGAGCATTTTAAGTGTGTTTATTATATTTTAAAACTCATCTCTAACGTGTAAATATCAGATTTCAGTAATACTGTTCCGTACTGTTTTGTTGAACGGTGCTTTAAGAAGACAAATGTGACAGTGTTGATAGTTTGTTTTAAAGGAGATTTACCTCTCCGTTCAGGAAGCAGTAGAGCACAGCCACCACAAAGCCCTGAGGAGACACAAAGGGTCAGAGCATGAGACAAAAACAATGATGGATATACTGTAAACATGGCTGTTTGGTAAAGAGTTATCCTACGTCATTAATGGTGCTATTGTGGCTCTATGACTCATTACAAACTGAAACAAAGTTAACTGGATTTTACGGTGGCTCAGTGGTTAGTACAGTCACCTCACAGCTAGAAGATCCTTGGTTCGCATCCCAGTTAAGACACCTGGGATCTTTCTGTGTGGAGTTTGCATGTTCTCCCCGTGCAACGTGGGTTCTCTAAGGGTTCTTCAGCTTCCTCCCACAGTTCAAAAACATGATGAGGCTAATTGGTGATTCTAAATTGTCCATAGGTGTGAATATGAGTGTACTTTTTTTAAAAATCTCTATCTGTAGCCATGTGATAGACTGGTGACCTGTCCAGAGTGTCTCCTGCCTTCGACCTAAGTTGACTGGGATAGGCTCCAGCTCCCCGTGGCCCAAGTGAGGATTAAGCGTTGTATAGATGATGGATTTTTCTTGTAAAGTTGCAGGAAATTTGTAGACTTGCCCAAATGTTGTTTTGTGCAACTTCTCATTTCCCAAAATCACTTAACAGAGGTGTGGAGTACAAAGTTAGCATGACCCATGGAGCCACAACAGCCACAGTAATGGGAAATACAACAGGTTGAAATATTAATTAAACAATGATATAAAAAGAAGAGGCAGGCTGAAACAGTATGTGTACTCTGGCAATAATGTGCTGTAAATATGTTATTTTACACCCATATTTGCAATTTTATACATTATATACACAAATAATCACATGAAATTCCTCATTTAACGTTAATCAAATGTTCCATGTGCTTGTTGATGTGCCTTAAGTCTGGCCTGAGTCCAGGTCTCAAGACTTCTGATGTAAAATCAACATTTGGACTGTTTGAAAGACATTTGGAGCCATTTATCTTATTTATTACATTTTTGTATTCAGGCAAAGTCCAAGTCAGATTGTAAGTGCTGAATTAGAGGGCTGGCCACTGAAGCACTGAGACCAACTCATTTCACTACCCATGACCGTCACTGTCACTCATTTTACAAAAAAAGAAGAGAAAAAATATGAAATTAAATCAAACATCAAAACTTAAGTGAATCAACTCTCACTGCAGTTAGCAATAAGTTCTATGTTTTGTGACTTTGGTTTGACTCAGATCAAGGTCTTAAATGTCAAGCCCCTGCCAATCCCCTCTTCTTTCCTACCCTGGCTGTAACTGAAACTTGAGTTGTCTACAGTTCATACTTTCACAGTCATAGTTTGCTAAATTTCAGCCATAAAGGAGAAATGGTCACCTGGAAGGATCCGAGGCCGAGCTCAAAAACCAGGCGCTCCCTTTTGCTGACGTTCTCGGGGGAGAAGGCGAACACAGTGTAGTGGATCCCGAACAGAGGAATCAGCAGCAGAGTGGAGCGAGCCAACCTCCTGCAACACAACACACAGACACACATACTTAGCATCACACAGTCATGAGAGGACTGCACCACTGTGTGTATCCTCCTAGGCAGATATCATGAACTGTTTACGAGGGGATATAAGCATGCATGATTAAACACCTGCAGTAATGTGAAACAGAATAGTAGCATTTCAACTGTAAAACCAGTTCATACAACAATTTACATGAACTGATGAGACCCGTGTAGTTTGTGACAATACTGTTATTAGAGTAATAGTAATAACCAGGGTCATTAACATCCAAACTCCGAAAAGTTTTTGTTCTCAGCTTTGATTTACCCCTTCTCTTCTGACATTTCTACTCACTGTGGGCTCTTTTTTTTTTTTTTTTACTGTAATATGCAGACTTCTGTAGAAACAGCACGGCTATGTCTAGAAGTGCTGTTTCTACAGAAGTCATGTCTACAAGTAAAGAGAGAATTCAGAAATGTCTTTGACAAAGTTTTGATGTCTTAAATGATACAAAGAAAAAAGAAAAAAAAATTGGGCTTTTTTAAAATGAAAAAAAAAAAGAAAGAAATTAATCTGTCCAACATGTTTACAATTACCCACAGGTGTTAGTAACACTAGGGGAAAAATGGGGGCTCTACATACAAATATATATATATGTATATGTATATATAAATATATAGTAAAGTACTGACAGATAAATACTGGATTCATTTCCACCAATATCTGGGGACTGTAACTTCTGGACCAGAATAATGATGATGCCAATGAAGAGCACAAAGTTGATCTGTAGGGGAAAAAAACACAATAGCATCCTATTAGAGTAAATACAGATATCTCTGATAAGGAAGGGACTGTTCATGTCCTAGTTTCCTACCATAATTGAAGCCAGCACAGGTCCTTTTATCACCCACCAGATGGCAGCATTGTCATTCATGTCCCAGCACCTGAGAGAGTGAGGTGACAAAACCAGGTATTCAGCACATAAACAGGCAAAACTCGACGTGTAATTCTAACCTTGTTCCTAACTGACCCTATATCATCAAAGTGCAGCCTCAGCACCGCCCAGATGGTCACACAGACTGTCGGGGTTCCTGTTAGAACAGAGAACATGATGTAAACAACACTGGGTTCAGTGTGGGAGTATTGATCAAAGTGTGTGATCTGCCTGATGTCTTACCCCAGCCAATGATGATGTACCAGTAGAAATATCTCTTTTCAGGGAAGAAAGTCTCCACCAGTAAAGTGAAGAGATACAGACCTTCGATGAAGAGCCAGAAGTAGTTAGAGAGGACGCAGTAGTGGAAAAATATCATCACTGCTCGACACTCCAGCTTGAAGATGAGACAAATAAAAGAAATGGTAAGTTAGGATGCAATTAAATATCTCTAACATGAGAGCATCCTGCTTCTCTGGCATGTGCACAGCCACGCGTATGTTACTCACAGTGTGTATGAAACAGTGCTCGCTGTCCTCTTTGGCATACAGCACACCGTCTTTGATGAAGACAGAAATAGCTCTCAAGATGAACGACACAAATAGGTTCATGTGGATGAAGTTCCTGGTACAGTGCAGCTTCCTGTATGGAGCAAAAATACTGAAAATCACATGGTTGCTTTTATTAACCAAAAGCAATACATGCAAATGATAATTGCACTGAAAAACAGCTGTACAACCTCTGCTGTGAAACATTACTGATAATTAGTTAACAGAGGCAATAGTAGTATTACTATCATGACACAGCTACAAGTCATGTTGGCAGAACTGCAGTGGTGGCACAGCAGCATGATGAGCTGTCGTAGGAGGCAAAGTGATAATAACTGTGGAAGGCTTGAGGATGAAAGCAGTTTTAATATTGGCAGCATTCGCTCTACTAATACTATATTACAAACAGCAAGAGTACTACAAGTCCAAGTGTTATTTGTGGAAACTTAATAATTATT